GAAGTATAAAAATTCAATTTGAACACATTAACGTGAATGGACTAATTTCATCATTTAACTAAAGTATAAGGATCTATTATTCAATTTGATCATTTTTAAACTTTTCTTCCTTGCCGGATGTATATATACCCATATATACATATATATATATATATGTGTGTGTGTGTGTGTGTGTGTAAAAAAAGACATTTAAGTTTTTCTTTTAATAATCAAATGAATAACATTCTTTTTGGTTTTCCTTTCTTCTCTCAACAAGCCTCTCAACAAGCGGTCGTTGCCTATAGTTTGATTTTGATTAGTTGAGCGGCATTGACAACGATTTGCAACCAAATTCTTTTCAAATCTTCAACAAATTGCTTCTCTAAATTTAGGTTCAGTAGAAATTTTCAAGTCAGTAGTCAAATGTTTGAACCAAAGTCTTGTAAAATAAAATTAGGATACGATGCAGAAGGAGTTTTTTCTTTTTTTAGTCTTTAGAGGCATGGGGTTGACGAGAAACATTCATTTTGAAAGCTTAAACAAAACAAAAATTTCCAGGTAGTCGGCCAAGGAAAATTTTTGTCAAAATTTCACAAAAAAAAAAAAATGTGAAGAGGATCTGAGTTATATACTATATAATTAGCGTAAGAAGATCATAAAGTTTGAACAATGTTTGTGGAGTAATTTAAGGGTGGTATATTCATATATCTACGTACTTGTCAAATTTATAATTATTAATGATGAATGTTCGTGAAAGTTGCTTTAATTAAAGTACTAGTTGCACCTAAAATTTGTCTGTTTTTTATTTTAAAACTCATTAAGTTACAATATTGGATAAGGACTTTGATTACCGACACCCTATTCTTAAAAATATATTTACTAGTGAACTTGAGAGTTAATTTAATTTATGGATACAATTATTTTTAAAACGTGATGATCAATAAATTTAAAATTTAAATTAATTCTTGTAATCATTTTTTTTCTCCTCATATTACCACTGCTTTTGTACCAAAAAAAATTATTCAATGATAATTAATTACAAGAATTAAGGTATAGAAAGATATGCATTGGGAAAATTTTGATCTTAAGCATTGCTTATTTATTTGGGAAATATTGAAAGTGTTGTTTCAAAGGGGACGCTAACAAATTAAAAGAATTTATTTTTAATAATGGTCAAACAAATAGAATAAAAAAGATTTTTCTGAAAAGTAAAATGAAGGTTGCAATTTTCATGTTTCTTGATAATAGATTTACTATTATGTGGCTATCAGTGTCATATCATACCTAAAATCCACCGTGTGCTTCCATGCTCTCATTTTAAATATAATTATTTCTTAATCTTCATTAAAATTTCATTTTCCCTTTATTTTTTATTATTTTATTTTGAAATAATCAAGCTGAGAATGAAGATATTTTTTGCGCAATCTTTAAAGAAAAGACAATAATCTGACTGGTACCTATAATTTTATACCCAACCCTAAAAAAAGTGTCTTAATCATGATAATATTTTCTAATTTCAGACAACTTGTATATCCTTTCCCTTTTGTCTTATCTTTTGGAATTAATTGATTTCAGTTAATGAATAAATAACCATAGTAACTTTTAAAACTATCACATTGAGGGGAATTGTTTTAAAAAAATCCAAAACAACTAATTATTTTGCCCCTCCTGCCATTGTCAAAAGCTCTAGGTTAATGCATTAAGCTAAATATTACTTTTTATAATTGACTGAATTTGATTTAAATTGTTGAGAGATTTATCACACTTGAAATGCACGAAAATACATTAAAGAATCCATACATAAATGTTAGACATCATAAAAGCCTAAAAACTTAAACTATTGGATTCTTAAAATTTTTTATTCATATGTGAACCTTATCTCACCACGAATATCCAAGGGTCTTGTTAAGATTTGATGAACATTCAATAGAAAGACCAAAAAAAAAAAAAATTTAGGTAAATGCCAAGGTTGAGGCAACCTTCAATTATCAATTCAAGACTCCAATATTCAACAGATGAATGAAAGAAATCAGAATTGACAAGGAAATATGTTTCATGGTCGAGCTTTGAAGGGTGCAAATGGTCAATTTTTGCTTAAAACCAAGCGGTCTTCAAGATTTGCTGGAAATCTGTTTTTTCTGTAATTAAAAAGACTATTGCATCTTACTGAACAGGGTCTCAGATTGTCAATGATGTCCAAACTGAAATAAATTTTTAAGAAGAATAATTGGCTAATGGAGGATTAAATATATAATAACAAAGCCAATATTCATATAATTTAGAAAAATTATCAAATATATTGACAGTAAAGTTTTTAAACTATATAAATTAGATTAAGAAAGTGACATATATCTTTTAAAGTATATTTAAAAAAAAAAATAAAAATAGAAATAAAAAATGTATTAATCCTTTAATACTGTTTGTAAAATTAAAAATTTATGTTGCCAATATATTAAAAACTAACTGTTAAAAATTAATTAATTTCATTTATTAGGATCTCAAACAATTTCAAATTAAAAAAGTAGAGAAGAAAATTTTAATTTATTTTCTGTAAGTAAGAGAAAAAGTTAAACCCAATCAATAAAAAATGTCAATATTTGAATTCAAAACCGTTTGTTTCAATGAATGTTATTCAGTCAATTGTTATACGAAAGCTTTCATGAATCTTAACTTATTTTCGTAGTAATTCCTCCACAACAATATAATAAGCACAATTTCAATCGTAAATAAGTACTGCATGCATTACAACATGTACAAGATGAGTAAGAAATAAAAGTTAAAATGTAATTATTAAAATATTTTTTTATACTTGAAGTTGTTAAAATTTAAATTTTAACCACTATAATTAAAAATCCAGCATTGTACTAACCGATTATGTAATACTAAAACTGACTAATTGACCCATTATTTATATATGAATGGTGAGCTTATAGAAAACAGGAGCTACAGTCCAATTGTTACAGTCCACAATATTCTTTGCTTGTTTAATCTTTAGACTCTTCAGAAGACTTGTTGCATCATCTCGGAAAAGGGAGCTTAACTAACACAAAAGAGCTTGATTGATTACATTTTCATCGAAAGGTCAAAAAATTAAAAAAAAAAAAAAAACTATATAATATGTTTTAGGGAGAAATTATTACATCCATCAGGATTAACTGGATGATATAAACTCTTTATGATATAATAAAAAAATTTAAAAAAAGTAAGATATATTACAATTTTTTAATCCAATTTATTGAATTAAAAATGTTACTATCAATATATAAAAAATAATGCATATTTTACTATTAATATAATTGAAATTCCAAAGGCATTCTTGATCAGAATTTAGTTGGTTAAAATAAATTAATTTGAAACAAAACATTCTTCTTGAAACTTGGACTAGCTAATTAATGGTTATAGTACTGTATATATAACCTTTGTAAAAACTGTTGGGTATGTTAGCAACTTGGTATTCTGTTTTTGGGGCTCACTTTATTATTGGGATTGTCCTAATTATATCCCAAACGTAATTGCATTCCTCTTTTTCTCTTTAATTTACACTATGTTCGGTAGGAAATTAAGAAGGAAAATTGAGGTAAAAGAAAAAAAAAAGCAAGAGGCAGGAAAGTTACTTTTCTTTCATTGTGTTTGGTATGAAAATAAAAAAATTAAGAAAAAAAGAGGTTAAAGGTAAAGTAAATAAAATTACTAATTTAAGTTGAACAAGTGTTTTCCTCTCACACATTTAGAATGACTGGATTTGAAGGAAAAAAAGGTGCTAATCCATTTATTTTCTTTTCATCTTTGTATTTCTCCCTATCAAACCAAAGAAAGAAAAAAAAAAAAAAAAGGTAAATTTTCATTCCATCCTCTTTCCTTCCTTGTTCTATCCCTCTTATCAAACGCACTGTTAGTGTAAAACTTGGATTATGGTGCTTGAGCAAAAAAGAAGAAAAATAAAAAGCAGATAGCTAGGTATCTCCTTGTCAAAAAAAAAATTTTTTTTTGTTATTTGGTTATTCACTTAATTAAAATGAATTCACTTCCAAATTAAGGCTTCCCAAATTCACTGCAAACAACAATTTTATTGAATTTTTATTGTCCTAAAGTTTTTTACCTGAATAGTGAAACATCACTATCTTGGGTGATCCATTTCAAGAAAACCCTAAGTCAATCTTAAATTTAGTTTCTACTTTTAAATTGTACCTAGAATTAAGCCTGCATACATTCAAATAGTACATTTGGGGTTATATCCTATTCTGCCATATATCTATATCAGCCCTATTAGATAGAGTTGATCGCAGCACCAATAATGTCCAATAACACTAATTAATTATTTGCTCAAAATAATGATGAAAATATATCACTAACATTTTTTTTAAGTAGCGACGTGGCTTGGCCAAGAAACTCTGCATTAATATTACACATCTATTAATTTTTCATTGGTCACAGCCCTCTCTCTTTTTATTTGGAAAAGAGAAGATTTAGACAATCTTTTCTTTTTTTTTTTTTATAAGAAATCATGTACTAGATACCGAGTCAAAAGTTTGAGTACCATATGTCTCCCTTAAAATTTTTTAAAGAATATTTACAAAAAGAAATTTTATGTTTTACTATATATTTCCTTTCTAGAAAAAAATTTTCAAAGGTATATATGTTTTTTATCTCTAAATATTATCCCTGAATAGTAAACTGAAAATAAATGGGATAAATTAGAATGAAAATGAATGGAGAGAGAAAATTGTTCGTTAATAATTAGTTTCCTATGACAATAATAGAAATAAGAAAGTATTTGATGCCCTCTGTTTAATTTAATTCACTAATTGCACCTTTGGTATAAATTTGTATTAATGGTTGAATTCAGAAATCTTGAGTATAATAAATGTAAATTTAAGATAGAAAAGGGTTTGGATTCCAAAATGACACTGTCATTTATATACATTTCAAATAACGAGGGGCAGATTAATATAGGGTCAATCTCGGAATTAAATTTCTAGGTAACTATATACTAGTATCAATTATTTAAAATTATTACTATTTATTAATTACCTTCATGTTACAGAAAATTTTTTTTCTCTTTGGTACGTAAAGGATAAGAGGGAAGGGTATAATTAATAGGAAAATGATGATGATGATATTGTGTCCAAAATGATATCTAAGCACTAAATGTCGCACATCCAAACAATGTACTGTGCCATCTCTTTTGCCAAGCTTCTCTAGGATTTCAGTCAGACGATCACAGTTTGTCCGTACGCAGCTACCTCGCAGAAGTCACTCCTCCATTCAGGACCCACATACTTGTAATTTTGTAGGCCATTACCCTTCTCAAAGAAACAACAAGAGTAGCTGTAGCTACACATTTAGCACCAAAAGGTGGAGTAGCCATCAATTAATTCATCTTCCAGGCAACCTTCTAAATACAGATGCATGGTTCTAACATCTAGATTTTGGCTCTTTAACCTTGATTTTAGACTTTCTTTCATTCTGTCTCCAAGTCCAATCATCCTCTCCTAATTCCTCCTTGTCAAGGCTCCTCTCCAGGCTTTTTTTTATCTCTCCTTGCAGCCTGGAAGCTGATTGCAGGCTCTTAACTAAGAGTGCAATGGAGCAATCACGGTATTGGATGTGGACAAAGAGGAGACATGGTTTGAGTTCTCACCTTCAAGCATCTAGAAACGCTGCATATGATGATTCATGGGAAGAGCAGGCTTTTGCAGAAGATGCTGCTGGGCCTCTTGGAGGGTGTATATGGCCTCCAAGGTCTTATTCTTGCAGCTTCTGTAGCAGAGAATTTAGATCAGCTCAAGCTCTAGGAGGTCACATGAATGTCCACAGGAGGGATAGAGCTAGGCTAAAACAATCTCCAACTCCCCATGATGAAATTCTTCATCATGATCATCAAAATAGTCAGAATCTCATTCAAAATCCCTTTTTACCTATGGGTTTTCATTACCAACCTGATGAGGTTCGCAACTTTGTCTATAACCCTAACCCTAATTCTGATCATGGTACTCTCCCATCGCCTTCCTCAACTTCTAGAGTTTCACCTCCACCAACTATTATTAAAGAAAATTTTCCAGAACCAACTTTAGTTCCTCCTTTCTCTTCAGTAACCGTCCAAGAGCACCCCAAGAAGTCCCCTAAGTCATCCCCAAAAGCATGGTCAAACTTGGTTGCAGACAGATATTACCATTTCTCTGATCTAAGGACTGAAGGAGAGAAGAACCCCGGAAAACTAGAATCTGGATGTAGGGTTAAAGCAGATTATGTCCAAACTGATTTATCTGTAAGCTTGAATCTAGTTGTCCGACGAACACGCCCAACTACATCTGGTAGTAAAGAAGAGACTGTTGGTTGCAAGAGAAAGAGAACTGATACACCGACATTACCATTCTTCCTGCGGCCGATTTCAATTGAAAGACATCATCTCCAACCAGCTGAGGTACCTGATCTTAGCCCTAGCTCAGTTGATGATATAGATCTTGAGCTAAGGCTTGGTGACCGTCCTAAGGTAAAGTAGTTTGATCAGAAGACCATACTTAAATGGATTTATAACTGCCTTTCTTCAATCTTATGTTGTCTGTAACCTCATTTCCATTTGATATTTTTCCTTCCCTCCGGATTTCTCAAGAGACTTCTTTGCTTCGAATTTGATGAGTTAGCTCTCTCTAAATCTTTATGATCTCACAGGGTGTAACAAAAAATTATATATATATATATATATATAAATATATATCCATGAAGAGGATTGAAAAGTACTCCTTTCCTGATAGAAATACTATCATCACCATGCATATGATCTTAGCTTGCTCTTGAAAATAATATTGTAGATATAAAGCATAGACAATATTGTTGGTTCAATCGATTTTGTCTATGATATTTGTACTATATATATGTTTAATTTAGAAATCAAGGTCGATAATACCAATGCCTCTTGTTGTTGTTTTTTTTTTTTTTTTTCCCAGTTGTACTGCTTTAGGGTTTCGCAGGTCAAATATATCTTGAATGATTCCATCCTCAATATTAGCTCATTATCTTCTTCTGCTTGGCGTTTTCACTGAAAAAGCACATCAATATATCCATTTCTATGTTCTAATTTGGGTGAAGATTTCTCCTCTGTGCCTGATAACCCTCATTCCATATGTTTTTCAATTCTAATCTGCTGCATGCCTAGAGAGATTTGTAAAGGGTTCCAGCTTGATACCAGTCGTGTCGAAAAGTCAGTACTTGAAGGAATGATTTTGATATATTTGGCTGGGTTTTGACAGAGATGAATATGAAGTCGAAGAAATCTTAGATAGCTAGTGAGCTTTGGAGAGTATGGGTGGAGCGAGAAAGAAGGAAGCCTGAAAGCAAAATGACTAAAAAAAACCTGCATGGAATATCGTGAGCTGGCTCTTTTTCCCATTCAGTACCTCACTGACATTCCATCAGAGGTTTACAAAACTAAAACTAAAAAACTAACCCACAAAACAAGAGTCTGAGCAGAGATGCATGGATATTCAATCAAATTCAAAAGCATATAATGTCAGATACATGGCAACATGGATTCCCTTTTCTCTTGTATTATTTACCCAATATGACCATACTCATCATCATCAGATCTGCTACCCTCTCACATAACTCCACCTACTTGTGTTCTCTTCTCCCACTTTTTCCTCTTAATTTCTTTTTCTAATTCTCTGTCTCTCCCCTTTATAATCCTTCCAAAATTTTGCCACCAACTCCGGGAATCATTACATTTAAGTATTGCAAATAGATATTACAATGTGCTTTTGAATGTTGAAGAGAATATTATGCTATCATGACTTATAGCCGCTATCTACGCATCTTTTGTTCCTTTCTTCTATTGTCTAATCTGATACATATATACCCTTGTAATTACAAAAACGATATCGCCAAATGTAACAATTAATAAAGTATAAACCTTATAGACTTATACGGTTGTTTATAATCATATATACGTACCTCTGAATTATGTGTATCAGATCATCCCATTACCATGAGTTTATATATATATAAGAGGCCAGTAGCTTTGAGAAAAAAAAAAGTATTACAAGTATTGATATTTGAGTCCTACAACAGTTGGATATCACCTCTTAGCAAACTTGGGGTTGTATGCATAAGCTTTCTGTGTGTAATTAACTGGAGTATAAAATAATTAATAGAGTGGTCTTCATCTATTTTCACCAAAGAAGAAAGGGAGTTCAAATCCCGGTGTAATTCCTAACACTAGGTATCTACTTAAAAACGAAAACCAGGCTGTTGCTTTTCTTTCTTTCTTTCTATAAACTGAAGTTTGAAGTTTGATTTTGACATAGCTTTACAGAGGAAGGGGCTAAGCTAGTTAGTATATATACCAAAGTAATTTAAGGGATACCAAACAAATTATTTTCCATTAAAGAGCTTAAGGATTGAAGATTGTTTTAATGATTCGAGGGGCCTTTTCCATGTGGGTGCTTTGTTTTCTAACGATGCATGTGATAGTGAAAGAGAGAGAGGAAGAAAAGAGAATACAAGAGAGGAAAGTGAGATTGCTTGCTTTGGCCTCTACGAAGTTCTACATCTGTGTAAGAGGGAGTTAAGGTGATTGGTTGAGCTTTGTCTTCATTAGGCTAATGAGTTGGATAGGCTTTTGGCTTTGCTTGACAACAACAACGACAACAAGGTGAGTGTCTGTGATAAGTACAGACCACAGGGGAGGGTTTCAGTACTGAAAGTTTAATTGTTTTTTGGAGGAAGGCAGTGGGCAGAGAAACGCACATGGGCTTCAAATGTCGTTTCTTTGTTCCTTTTTTAAGGAGTTGTTAATATAGAATTTGCTGAGACAGAGGTGAAGAGAACGGGAATTGGGAAGTTATTCCTGCGTGGGTTTCTCTGTTTAGAGCATTTTTGTAATACCAAATTATTGTTTAAAGAAATGAGAATTTTGTGGAATAAAATCCAGAGTAATTGGGTTGGTTGTTTGGAAGTAGTTGTTTATTATTGTTTTGACAACTAAGGGTATATTTGCATGGGAAGGAGTTCCCTTCTTCACGAGCAAACTTTCTCTTCCAGATAAAGCTGAGCTAGAATCAATTGCATTCTCTATACCCAACTAGCAACATATCAAATTAATTATGTTTGCATGTTCAAATCGGATCTCATCACTTTCAGAACTATCCATAGTGCTTAAAAGAGACGTTACAAAACCATAATAAATCAAATAAAAGCAAGATTTAACCGATGTCAAATAACATCACATAAACATAATAAACCACAATTCAAAAAGGTAATAGATAATAGAATCTGATATCATATTATTTAACCAATTAATTAACAGTATGTGAAGATATAAATTGAATACAAGGCCATAAGAAATCCAATTTAATATATATATATATATATATCAGGTAAGATTATTTAAAATTCAAAACTATAATATTTTAATTACAAGAGTCTTGTATTTTCAAGTGATCCATGGATATGGACAACGAAAAAGACGAATTAACTCTACATGCAAGGTTCTACTAACACATCAAGGAAGTATCTCAAACTTGCCCATCCATGCTGTACCAAACAATAATTGCAACATATATACCACGGGGATAGATTTTATTACTTGCCTCTCTTGGCAGAGCAATTAATCTTCTTGACAGTGCATTCTTTTGTATGATATAGATATATATAGATGAAGGATTAATATAAATAATTACGACCTATCATAGACATCCCATTACATGTAAGGTTCAAATCAATTGGGCTTGATTTGATCTGATTCGGTCTTAAACTCGAGTGTCTAAATTTTGTTTATTTTTCTTTTTTTTTATTATTATCTTAGCTTTGTTAGTATCCACTAGTTGAATTCATAGGATCGAGCTGATCATAGATGGTAATAAAGTACTGGCATTCATCAAGTAGATAAATGCATTTTTAGTGATAATTTTTTTTTTTATTTGAGACTTTATCACAATTAGAGTTCAGTGCCTAGAAATAATCTTGTAAATCGTCAAGCAGGACATGAACAAACAAAAAAAAAAAGATCAAAGCCACCCATCAGCCAAATTTTCAGCAAATCCTTCTACCAAGTCTCCACACTCAATATATACTGTCACATACACAGACACCATAAAACACAAGTAGCAAGTTCTCAAAAACCATCACCAGCAATTCGATCAAATAAAGAAGAAAAAACTGATTTTTAACACGGGATCATCAGCAACAGTCCAGAAACTTAAGGCAATTAACAATTCTTGAGTGAACAACCCAAACCAGAAACACCATCAGACTCGACGGTTACCACTGTATCCTACAGTCACCAAAATAGTTCCCCCACCACAACAGCCGTCCACTATCGAGACCAATCGAGCTACCCAAATCCTTTCTGCCACCATCATCAACTCCCCACCAAAATTCTCCGTCAAAAAACCAAAAAAAAAAAAAAGCAAAGTCAGAAACAAAAGAAAACCAAAAACAAAAAACAATTTTTTTCTTTTAGGTTTCGGTTTGGTCCTCCTCTAAGGGGTTTCAGGTTTTCAAATTTGGTGATGAGGTAGCCGAGGGCAAGGATAAGAACATACTTCGAAGCAACGACTATCGAAGCAGTGGAGAAAAGGGAGAAAACCATGACTTCGATCTCAGATCTAAGCCAATCTAATGAGTTTCTGGAAAAACTAACCAGATCACGCAAAAAAGGGGACCAAGGCGAGTTTCCAAGTGAAATTTGGGCTTCATCGAAACTGACCTGCAGCGCAGCAATGCAGCTGGAGGTGACAAGCGGCGGCTGACACGGAAGAGTCGCACCGGAATCTGGGAATGTTTTTCTTTGGTCTGGGATCCCGGTGTCCCGTATTACTTTAGAGCCTAGGGTCGGTTATGGGTAAGACTGGAGCGAGTTTTTACTCGTCTCATCGAATCTAACATTTTATTTTTATAAAATTTGAATTTGATTTGGTTTAAAAAATTTTTAATTTTTTTATATTTGAATTTGATCTAATTTAATATTATATTAAATTATATTTAATTTAATTTTATTTAAAATTAATAAAATATTATTTTTAAATATAAATATATAATTATATAAATATATATAAATAAATAATTAAAAAAATAATTTTTATATAATATTAAGTCAAAATGAATTTATTTAAAATTTAAATTTGATTCAATCTCATTTTTTTTTTAATATTATCTAATCTAATTTTATTCTAAATTTAATTTAAAAAAATTGATCTTATAAAACGAATTAAGTCAAAATATCAAAAATTGATTGAATTGTTAATCTTATTTTAGATCTTGATTAATTTAAAATTGAATTAAATCAAATTTTATAAAAAATAAATTTTTTCATGGTTTTTTTTTATTTACAAAACTTAAAATCAAAGTTCTTTTACTTAAAACAAATTTGAGCTCGTTACCACTCTCAACGACATGCGTTGGTGAATTTGGAAACGTTAATAGAAAGTAGTTGGACGTTTTAGAGAGAAAAGCTGAAGGTGAAAATGAATGAAAAGACTTATTTATAGTAAAGGTACACAGCGTTGTGGTTTGTAAGGAAAGATCCAGGCTTCAGCCCATTTTCAACCTGAGACCAGTGCCTGGGACCCAACTTTGACAGATTAAGAGACCTGATGCAGGCCCGGCTCGCGTTAATTTCAGCTTTGGACGATGAAGTTGGGCTGAAAGTCTTCCTATTTGTTTGCCTACATAGTTTTGGACCTCTTTTAGTTTGTGTTTTAACCCAAAGTTTTGGTAATTTCTTTATTTCTTTATCCACTTGTTTATATTTATTTTGCATATTAGAATTTTTAGATTTGGAATGTATTTATAAATTATTTCAAAAGAAGAAAAATTGAAATTGATTTGAAAATAATTTTTGAAAATTAATTTTAAGGTCAAATCATATCAAACCTTTAGAAGATTCAAATCTCAAATTAAATTCTATTAAGCTATTGAAAGATTTAAATCTTAAATTAAATTTTACCAACTTATTAGAAAACTTAATGATTTTTATAAATAAAATAAAATTTCTAATTCTACCAACTATTGAAAAATTTAATTTTCTTCTAAAAATCTCATGAATAAATTTTTGAATAAAAATCTTACCAAACTATTAAATTATATATATCAAAATAAAATATTATCAATCTATTTAAGGATTTTATTAATTGTTTTTAAAAAATAATTAACTCCTAAAGAAAATATATTAATAAATCTGATGATGAAACATTTTCAGTAAGAGATATTAGTCTCCATGAATACTACTGAAATGAGAAACTATTTTTAAGTTGCTACCAAATTATTGGAGTAATTTTAAGAATAATTTTTAATATTAAATTATTTGATAAAATAATAAAAAAAATGTTTTAAAGCTTATATAACATGAAATCAACTGGAACTATCTGTTTGGATGGGTGTTATGAGGGTATTATAACTTTTTTCATATGTAACTATACTTCTAGACCTAGTTCTGGTTTTGTAGACTAGAATTTATATTTTTAAAGATATCTGAATCAAGCTTGGATCTTTTTTTTAAAAGGGAACAGATTTAGTTAGGTAATCAATTATACCTAAACAAAAAGGATTGGTGGTGACTCCTAAATTGTGTCTAGTATTAGGTTCATAGATCTATACGTTATGACAGTTTAGTGACTCCACTGGAGATTTCTTAAGTCGAGTCAATAATTAATTGTATTATCCAAGCCTTAACAAATTTAATGGTTTTACTTTTTTTTACATTTAGTTTTTTTTTTTAACATTTAAAGGTCTCTTTATACACATTGGATTTAACATTTAAGTTATGTCTAGTATTAGGTTCATGGATCTATACGTTATGACAGTTTAGTGACTCCACTGGAGATTTCTTAAGTTGAGTCAATAATTAATTGTATTATCCAAGCCTTTACAAATTTAATGGTTTTACTTTTTTTTACATTTAGTTTTTTTTTTAACATTTAAAGGTCTCTTTATACACACTGAATTATGCATTATTCATAACATAAGCTCTATAACTAAACTTCATCCTTCTAGGAAGGAGTAAAATACCTATACTTTCGTGAGGTTTTATATCTCCACATAAGCTAGTGAAATACTCGAACTCCAATTGAATCTTTTTCACTCGAAACCTACAATGGATGAATATTGAAGTGTCTTACTACTCAATCATGGATAATAGTAGAAAACACTTTAAGAACCTTTAGTTTGGTCCAATATCCTAACCAAGTATATAATGAAATTAGAGAACTCAACCTTAAAGTAGAGCTATGTGGATCCTTTGTGTAAAACATGTTTTTGTATTGATTTTGTATTTGTTGAAATTTTTGTTAAGATAATTTTTTAATTTAAATTTATAAAAAATAATTTTTTTCAATTTTTTTTTTACTTAAATTAAGTGAGATTTTGAGTTGAATTTTTTTTTTTTTTTTTGCATCACATGATATTGTTTCATTACAAACATGCATATATCATCCAGGTACAACCATTATTTCACTTTCCATGTATATAAAAAAAAATGTGAATGTATAAACATTAATTAGGGGCAACTTTTCTTTTTTAGTTTTGACTTAATTGAAAATGAATCTTGATTTTCATTATATACATTGTTTCATTTGTGCTATTAGATTTTGTATATAATTTTGAATATTAATTTTTTATTTTCATTATGTAATGGATACATGTGTTTGCACATTTTTTTTGCATGAAAGTATCTTTGTATGTACATTATTTTATTTGTTTGGGCCAATATTTGCTCTCTTTACTTTTATATAAAATTTACAATGAACCATTTTTTGGCATACATATAATTGTACACACAATTTTTCATCCATGTAAACATTATTATTTGTATATTGTTTCATTTGTTTACGGTAGTTTTTGCTCTCTTTAGAATTTTTACATTTGTATATACATTTCTTTTCATTCATGTAAACATTATTGTATGTACATTATTTTGGGGGAATTTTGTTTTCTTTAATCTTGTATGTAGTCTAATTGGAAATGAATTCTTGTATTTTGTTATGTATTATGCCTTTGGAATTATACATAACTCTTTTTTTCTTCTATGTAAATATTTTTATATGTATATTAGTTCATTTGTTAGGGGCAATATTCATTATCCTTAGTTTTGTCCTTAGTTTAGTTGAAAATGAACTCTTGCTTTATTTGTCTAAAAATGTTTTTTAAGCATTGCAATATTTTGCCTCGAATTTAAAGGGCTTTGTAAATACTGAAAATTATTTCTTTCATCTTTTGAGTTTAAGAATGTTTGACAATGGAAATCCACATTTTTTCCTTAATTAAAGAAAATGATTTTTAAAAAAATAAAAGTAAAATCCTTGTGTGATGACAATCTTAAGGAAATTAGTGATTAGTATAAAAAATGAACACATCTAGTCGTTTCACTAGCCATTTCATATTGAGCTATCTCATATTAAGAACCACACCACTTAGAAAACTTGAATTTCTAATATTTATAAACTTTATTTTCACTTGACTAAGACCATGATCTTCATTAAGGTTACGAGCATTGAAAGGGATGATTAATTTGCAAAATCATTTTGAAAATTCTTTATAAGCCAATACATGAAGTACTATTTAAAAGATTTTGATTTGTGGTAGTTTGATAAGTGTTGAAACTATTTCAAACACATCAATATCCTTTATCAATATCCTTTATCAACATTTTAACCTATGTAACATTCTTGTTCTTTACCCACATATTAGGGAAAATTTATCAAAAGAGCCAAATTATTTAATGTCCACAATATTTTTTATTGTGATTGACATGACATTTATTGTCATTGAATGAAGATTGCATGAACAACCTGAGTGGATTTGAAAATGAAGATTGCTACATTGGGCTTTCGCTTGATTAAAAAGTTGAGATTATGCATTTTGAGTATGAATTTCGAACAAAAAGGAAAAAAGAAAAAAAAAGAAAAAAGATGAAAAGAAAAGAGTTAATTGTAATATCATGCATGTGACATTCAAATGAATGCAAAATCAAAAAGAAAAGAAATTCATCTCCTGAGAATTGCTTTTTAACGGAAGCATCCATGTTTGAAATGATAAATGCCATTTTTCATTATTACTTTCACAAAATAAGAAATCATCCATTTGTTTACTCTTTTTGAGCCTATTAAATTTTTTTCTTCTGAATGAACTCTAACCAAGGATCACTCTTTACATTGAGGGGTAAGTTCAAAAAAAGATCTTATCAAGATAGCATTGGATCATACATTAAGCACTAAAAAAGATACCTTATGTTAAGGGACAAATTTGAAGTAAGTTGAGTTCTAAAATTTTGAACTAATCTTGTAAAAAAATGAAAACATGCAAGGAAAAAAAAAAGAAAAAGAAAAGAAATGAGAACAAAAAAAGAAAAAAAGATATGAATAGATGAAAAACATGTTTGGGAAGTAGAAAGGACAAATGTCTTTATAAAAAGAAAATAATCCTTAGTTTAATTATCTTTAAACACATGTTTTGCCCATATTATCTTTTCTTTCTAAATCCTAAACCCTAACCTAAATTACGTCTTTTGAAAAATCTTTTTTGATCATATATAAATACCTATGTTGGAAAGTTTATTCATTAGAAAATCATTATATTTGATTTTAGATGAATTTTGAATTTTTAAATGCATGGTGAAACAATCCAAAAAAAGCGAAAAGAATGAATGAAACTTTAGGGTGAAAACTTGAAAATGAGTAATCTTGGGCAAGAATGAAGTTTTGAAAGTGACTTATGACTTTTTATGCGTTAAGGATGAAGCAAGAAGCACCGAGAAAAGAATATTTTAAATAAATGAAGACTTTTTAAAGGCTAAAAAGGATCAATCTCACTTTGAAGCTTCTTTTTAAATTTTGAGCCTTGTTTTTATTTCATACCTAAAGTTTTGAGCTTGCTATAACTGGTCTTAATATTTGTTAAAAAACCACAAATTAATA